CCACCTTGACATAACCTTTTCTACCTGCTGGAGCTATATTGTTTGTCTCCCTCTGAGTGGCTGCCAGTACAGTCACACAGGCATCCTCTCCAGACACTCTATGCGGTTTAGCTTGGTCACCTCTTTGTGTGCCATAAGTAGTCCCATAGGGTCCCCCAATATGTTCATGCCAATGATGCCAGGAACTCCCACCTCTCCTTGCTGTTCTGAATCCTTAAAAACAAACACACATTTACATGAGGCCTGCCCCATACACTCCACACTGGTCTCCAGACAATCAACCACTGGGATCTCCAATCCATTTTTGCATTAATAGCAAGCAGTTATCGAATGCCTGGCTAGTAACTGGGTTGCCCCAGACCTCAGATGAGGCAGACTGAATATGAATCAATGCTGACATATCTACACACGTACTATCACCATGCTGACTCAATATGGTCAGAGTCCTGGTCACCAGCACCCTTGGCTGCGAGACTTGTGTGGCCAGGCTGGCCACAGGAGTATCAAATAGGCTATATATATATACCATTACTATCATTCAGTGGGGACTGGAAGCTACATTTACCTTGGCTCTACCCTCATTTCTTTATCAAGGTGGACCATTTTAAACAGCTCCTCTTGAGGGGCTGCTATTTTTTTAATAACCCTGTGCAGGCTTTTTAAAGGGGTCATATGATGCGATTTCAATTTTTCCTTTCTCTTTGAAGTGTAACAAGCTCTTGGTGCATAAAGAAGATCTGTAAAGTTGCAAAGACTAAAGTCTCAAATCCAAAGAGATATTCTTTATAAAGTTAAGAGTCAACCACGCCTACCTAAACGGCTCATTCTAACACGCCCCCACGATGTGGCAAGATTTGCATAACGCCGCCCAGCCGCCGCCATGCCGTGGAGACACTGTGTTTCATTGTGAAAGCGAAGCTACTTTGTTTGGCCTTCCAAAAGAGGATGATAGCCGCTTCGTCATGCCTGGAGCTGATCCGTGCTGATCGCTAATGAAATACATCAACTTCGCGCTGTGGATCGCCGGATAGACTTTCACCGTGGACAAAGCGGAGTCCAGCCCGGGGTCGTCACATGTGGTTGGCGCAAGCCCACCGGCCGTTCCTCACTCTAGCCCACCGGCCTCTGCTCACCCTAGCCCGCCAGCCGTTCCTCACTCAAGCCCGCCATGTGTGACGCTGTGTGTTTCGTTGTGAAAGCTAAACTACTTTGTTTGGTCTTCCAAAAGAGGACACGACTAGAAATCAGTGGTTAAGTTGTATTTACAACACTGTTCCAGAACAGTTCAACCCAAATATTCAGATGTGTGCAGCACATTTTATGGAGGACTGTTTCCTGATCCTGGAAGAGTAGACTACAATGCCGGCTGTTCTGACTCACAGACTGTAAGTACGTTTTCATATTTAAAGGATTTGCCACTGATGATTCAAACGCGAGTTTTGAGCAGTGTAGAGTAGCGCTTGTTGTTTGTCATTTCTCCAATCACAAATGCAGACATGGTTTTATGTTTACGCGGCACGATGCAACGCGTAAAAAGACAGCTGGGGCTGGCACATTATTTTCACCTTACGCTGACCAGGTGAGTGCAGCTTCTTTCCCATCCTTCAAGGACATTCTTAACAGTCCTCTTTAATTTCCCAGCTATCAAACAAACCCAATACCAGCTTTTTCTTCAGAACAACTTCTGGTTAAGGTGCATGATTGTGGTCTCTTTTTAAAACCCTCTCCAACTTTTCCTGGAGAGCATAAGCATATGTCCTAACAGTTTCTGAGTGGTTTCAGTGAACTAATTAAGAGTCCCATTTTGGCCTTTTTGACATATCAGTGATAAAATACTTTTGTAGCTCTGAAATTAGTCAGCCCCCACCACAGCAGCATAGGAGGTTAATCACTATGGCTAACTTTGAGGCAACTGACTGCAAAACTTTGCATGAAACAGTGCAGAACCTTAAAATGTCCACCTGTTGTCTTGACCCACATCTTTCTTTAAAGTGCCCCTATTATGGGTAATGAAATTGTGGCGAGGGGGGCGTGGTTTAGTGGAGTCTGCAGCGGGAGAGAGCAGTCGGAGACGAGCGGTGAGTAAGTAGGTCAAGTGCAAAATGACATTCACCTGCTTCTCATTTCAGTGATTGGCCTCGAGAGACCGTAAAAGGCCGCAGGGAGAAACAGAGAGGGAGAAAGAGCCAGACTGAGGACTCGTGGGTGGAAGACTGTTGTCTAGAGAAATCGCCGAAGTGCTGGATAGTTGTGTTTATTTGAAGCGCCGGAGCGCCTGCCTGTTTTGTTATTTTGAGTCAATTGAATAAATTACCACGAGCCTCAGTCACGCCGACTCCGACTTCTTCCTTCCTTCCCTCGAACTTTGTTACAGAAAAGTTCAAATTTTGGTTTTGGGAGTCCCCAACAACAGGTTGACATGCATGCAAGGTCAAAAAACACTTTCATTGTCTTATAATATGCATTTATTTTTACCTTACTTGCTCAACGACTCCCAAACCATTCGCTAAACGATTCATTTTTCCAAACCCCTCCTTTGCGTGATGCTAATCTGCCGTGATTGGTCCGATTGGTCTCGTTTTCATTTCATCATGCCTGCAATGCCTGATAAAGCACCTAAAACTCCCCATTTCAGACTTTTGATAGCACCACTCAGTCAGCACATTTAATGTTTACACTTTTCAGAAAGTCATCCTACTTCTGGTTGTCTCTGCATATTGATCTAGAATAGGAAAATGTATTTTAACATACAATACATTAAGCACAGCAGCTTTAAAGTAGGAGCGAGTCAGATCTCATATGTCTAAGATCCAAACCACCAGCCTATTTGGTGGGCTGGTGAAACCGGGTGAGCTCTGTCCTGCCTATTTTGGAGGTGTTAATTAAACACTGTCAGTCTCTGGGACGTCATTGTCCACTACCTCATTGGCCCCTCTGCCATAAATATATCCAGGGGCCCAAGGTCCCTTAGGCATCTCATCAAACACAATGCCCTCCAAACACACACTCATAAACTCACTTCCTACACACAGACAGACAGAACCCCTTCCCCCAGCCACCATTTCAGATTTATAGAGGCTTCAGGTTTACAGTCAACTTGTCTTCACACTAAATAAATGACAGTGTTCTGCCAGGAGTAATAACCACTGTGTTGATGCGCAAGGAGGGAGAGAAGTCTTTGCTCGCTCCATCAGTCTCAGAGCACATCTTTGATATTATCTGCTTGCTTCCAATCCCAGGATAAGTGCTTTTACACACACACACACACACACAAGCCATTCTATTTTAGTGGAGTGTTAGACCTCGCCTTGATACAAAATGGTATTACTTTACGGTCCACTGTACGTAGCAATATTGGATAAAATAAAGGATATTTACTCTATATGAGAATTTGCACTTCCATATGTTGGACAATGTCTAGAGACCGTGAGATTTCATTTCTCGAGGACAGAAGTGCTGTAAAAAATATTGTCAAGAGTATGTGAGCATGACTGCATTGGGCCATTTCGCTGATCGCTTCAGAACAGCTAATTTTCCAACAATAAATATGAAGAAACTCAACTGCACTCATATCTGCTGCCTTGAGTCAGCCTTGAGTGACTTACTGCTTTTATACAACAGTAAATACAACAAATATTAAATATCATAATTCATTATGTATAATTATATTTTTATACACCTCTAGGTAAGCGTATTCAGTCTGCTCTGCTTGACCAGTTTCACATCTAAAGAGACTAAGGTCTGTCTGTTCAATAAAACTGTCTGCAGTTCAACAAGGACACCTGTGCCACCTAGTGACAACAAATAAAACACCATGTGATGTATTTTATCGTCACACATAGAGATGCTATGCAATTAGTTTTACATTAATACAGTAAGGCAAGATTAGTCAACACCAGTGTGGCTTAACTTGTAAAAAATCTGCTAAACACAACAGAGTGTTGGACAGGACTACAGTTAAAACAACCCTCAACCCAGTTTCAGTTCTTCCAAACTACCGCCAAAATATTCATATTTGTGACCAATCAATATTTGGCCGAGATACAACTATTTGAAAATCTGGAATCTGAGGGTGCAAAAAAATCTAAATATTGAGAAAATCATCTTTAAAGTTGTCCAAATTAAGTTCTTAGCAATGCATATTACTAATCAAAAATTAAGTTTTGATATATTTACAGTAGGAAATTTACAAAATATCTTCATGGAACATGATCTTTATTTAATATCCTAATGATTTTTGGCATAAAAGAAAAATCGATAATTTTGACCCATACGATGTATTTTTGGCTATTGCTACAAATATACCCCAGCGACTTAAGACTGCTTTTGTGCTCCAGGGTCACATTTCTATTTCATCTGGAAAAGCTCATCTTTATGACACCTTTTCTACTTAAAGTCTAAGCGCCAGACTGTTCAACCAGGGAGCTACTTGACATTCACAGAAACATTCTAGACGGAGAATCTGCATGTAAATGACCAAAAGGAATATAGCTTTTTGCAAGTGTGGCCCATGCAACATGTTACAGCGTTTAAGATGTTAGAGGTTTGATTTCTAAACAGATTCCAAACTGAATTTAGTTAAGGAGAGAAAAGTGAGAAAAGAAACATTCTGTAATAATTTATGTGTGTCACTCTAGATTTCATGATCATATTGTTTAAAGAATCATAATATTTCGAGATTCTCCCTTTTATTTCACACCGTCATTTTACATTGGCATGTATGTACATTCAGAGATTTACAGCTTATAAAAAACAGCATCAGTAAAATGTCTGTCACTGTCACGTTTACAGAACCATCAAAATCAAATCCATAAGAGAAAAAAAACAACCAACAACCTTTTTAAGAATATTCAGTGAGTATACATACTACTACTACAAAGATACCAGCATGTAATACACAAACATACACATATAATAT